AGTTGTGGCTGGAAAAGTCTCTTGTACCTGAGGTAAAGGCAGAATCCCCAAACCTCCCCACAGCCCACTCTTCATGTAAAAGCTTCAGTAAGGGCACCAACACTGTACTGTGTTTCCCCAGACTTCCAGGAGGAGGAAACCGTTCAATCACGGCAAAACTAAATCCATAGTAATACTTAATTATAATTGGAAATGAATAGAAAAGAAAATGATCAATTGTGAAGGTTTTTTAATGTGTTGTTTAAAATGAATAAACATGTTAAAATGTACCGTATGATATTGATGTTTTAATATGCACATTACTTGAACGATTATTGTACCTATACCAATAAATTAGAATCCATTAACCCAAATTTGAATCAATTAAATATCTCGCAGTCTTTTAAAGTGACATCAATTTGCATGTATTTTAAAGCCCAAACACAAACTAAAACCTTAATTTTTGTGTAAACTAATAAATAATAATAAATGTGTTTAAAGGTTTAGACTTTTTCAAGCTTATGGCTTTGCTTGCTGCTATGAAACAAACGGGGGTGAAATTAAAGTAGATTTAAGGTTGTTTCTAAATGGTTGTTTCATAGTGATGGTGAAGTCTGAACTGGACCTCTAACCTCCGAAGGAAGTTGTCTGTTAAGGATCTGTTATTATCTTAAAAACGTACATTTACATAAAATAATTCGTTTTTTAAGTGGATACATCAGGACTATCAGAAGTGGATGTAATTTCACAAATTCATGTTTTATTTAAGATCCACTTAGCTTTTGACCATATTCTATGTTTTTCCGCAGGATTGTTGGCTTCGTAGTTGTTTCAGGTTGTGTATTTGAACCAACATAATCACTCACTGATAATAACAGATGTGGTTGAAAGCACTCGAAAAAACAACTTGAAAAATGTGAACTTTGATTCACAAATGTTCTTTTTATTGCAATTTACATTAAAAAAAACCTGGCACATGATTGTCAATTGATAGATCGCAACGAGGGAGCTGCTCTGCTATGCACGAGCCCTGACCCAAGTCATTTAGCACCAGGTTCTCCACAAACATGTGGTTCAAGAGAAGTGGGGCAACCGTTGTCGGCTCCACTCACCGGCCGAGTCTGTAACTTATCCCAATACAAGTCCCACCCTTGTTTACAGCGTAACATTTGATGTAACCCTCTTGCTATTTACTTTCACCAAGAGGCTCATGTCCCTCTCGTAGTCTCCTTCACACTAAATCCGCAGTAATACCAGCCTGTATTGGCAGCCGGGTCCCATGGGGGTAACAGTGCTTCGCTACCTTGAGATGTCAGCAGAGTCAGGCCTGTTTTGGAATTGATCTCTTGGTAATCTCCGCTGCCCTCCCCACCCGCCCCAGGCACCCGAGCATCTTCTGGCTAAGAACGATTAAAGACTCCATCAACCACCTCCCCCTCCCCACCGCGCTGTCTGGGCCCCTTCGACTCTCGTGACTAGCAGCAGCATCAGCACATATCAGTGATGACACTGCCCTGTGGCCTGTCTCTCCTCTTTTGTTAAGGACTCCGGTAGCCTTTGGAAATGTGCGTCATGTGAGCTGTGATGACTCCTTCCTCTGAGGAACCCTCATTGTTACTCGGATGATATATGTTCTCTGAATGCCCCTGCTGAAATATGTGCTGTACACCGGCCCGCATCGATATGAATCAGTCTGTGTTAGTTTTGCAGTCGCTGTGGCCATCATCATTATCACTGCTGCTGCTCCAGCCACAGCTATTTTAGGAAGCGCATAAATAAGAGTAAAAGAGCCAGCTATAATTGCTCCAATCCTTTATGCACTATAACTCACTTCAGCATCATTATATTCCACACTGAAACTTGTTAAGGTTATATCCATGCTGAAATTATCATCTTCATCTTTAATGAATCTGTCTGAGTTCCTCATCCCTATTTATGAGAGGAGCCTTTCTGCCTGACAAAATGGTCTAAACTTCCCCCAGCATGAAGAAGAGGAGTGCACAACTTTTTCAAATTCCTGACAGACTCCTCTCAAGTTTTTTTTTTTAAGCAAGTTGTCTATAAATGGAATTTACCAGAACAGTTCATTAAAAGTGTTCAAGAACTTTGTGTGAACATCACGCTTCTTCTCCTGAGATTCGGTTTTCCATTGTTCCGTAGTAATTAGTGTTAATCGTTCTGGCACCGTCTCATCTGTGTACGCTGATTTATATTTAGCAATCCAAGGTTTGTGTGGACCAGAGTGCAATGTTCACTACAAAAACAAAGGCCATGTGGTTGTTAAAATTAAGAGGGTTTATCCACCCTGGAGAATGAATAGGTCATTTGCTCCTTATTATGACATATTTATTATGAGGGTGACCTGTAAGAAAACTTTCTTGCATCAGCAGCAAAGAGGACAGTCAAAAATAGACTTCACTTAGTAATAATAGGTAAACATGCCAATACTTATAAATACAATATTACTGCTGCAGGAGGGAACGACCTGCGATACCTCTCCTTCAGATACTTAGAGTGGATCAGTCTGTCACTGCTGTGATGGTGTCCTTCGGCGGGGGGGGGACTGGTTGTCCATTAGAGAAGACAGCTTCGCCCTCATCCTCCTCTGTCCCACCAGCTCCACTGGGTCAAGGGGGTATCCCAGGACCGATCTGTCACTCCTAATCAGTCTATCTAGTCTCTTCCTGTGAGCAGTTGAAATGCTGCTGCCTTAAAGCACACCACTCTAAAGATGATTGCTGATGCTACCACAGAGTCATAAAAGCTTGTTAGGATCACCCCCTGCCCTCCAAAAGACCTCAGGGTCCTGAGTCTGCTCTGACCCTTCATATAAAGAACAGTGGCATGATCAGTCCAGTTCAGTGTTCAGGTGAACACCCAAGCACTTTTAAGGGGTGTCAATCTCGACGTCCATTCCCTAGATGTCCAAAGGTGTAGTGGAAAATAACTAAGTGCAGTGGGAAACTATTTTGTAGTTGAAAAGTAACTTTTATGACCTGAACTGTTTGTGACCTCAAACCTGTTTGACCTTTCTGCTTCGTATTGACTGTCCAAGGACTTATGCTTTATCGTCAAAGGACTCGGATGCAGTTCCCTGTGTCTGAATTCCTGTCTGAAACTGTGCCTACAGAGCCAGTCTGAACCGGCTCAGACAAACACCAAACCCTGCGTTGATCTGGAGGCAGTTTTGTTGGCACCAGTTCTCTGTATTCCCTGTTGTCTTCATCTGTGAGAGCCGTCAGAGAACTTCCGCAGGTGACAGGAGGGTGAGTTGTTGAGGAAGTCTGCAGTGTAGAGGCTGTCTTGTCTCTGCAAACAGCGTGATGCTACACTGTATTCCCTCTCATGTCGGGTCATCGTCTAACTCCTTTTTATTTATGAGAGATCTTACATTTCCCACGAAGAAGGACATGAAGTGGGATCTGAAGAGCCCCCTCCACAAAAGGTCATTTAATTCTTCTCATGAATGTACTCAACCAGATGGTGAACATTCATCAAAAGTACTCCATAATAATATCGTATTTATGTGATAATACTTATTTACTTACTTACTTACAATGTGCCGGACACAGTGGAGTGTGTCCCACGGCAACCATATGACAAACAGCACTAATAGACTTGAACTTGCCTATTATCAAATATAACTTAAACTGACCACTAGTGGCAGCAGAGGAGTTCACACTTTTCACTCTTGGTTCAACAATTCACTCACTTAATATGTGAATGTTTTACACAGTTAAAAGCCCTCTTCGGCCCTGGGTGCACATCCATCAGTGGTGAGAGCAGCTCCTGGAGGAGAGTTATTCCTGAACAACCGCTGCAACACACTGAATGATGGAACATTAGTGGGGGTCAAAGCACCGCTCAACAGATACGTACAGGTGCTGCCATCACAGCACACACTTTAGTGAATGTTATTGGAAACCATATTAATCCCAAAAAGGTGATTATTAGCAAACCATTATTTAAGTAACAGGTTAATGCCAAAGTTCTGAAAGTTCTGAAAATTCTGAAAATAAAGAGCATCATAGATTTCTTATGTCTCTTTCATACCAATATATAATACACATATTTTATATATATATTATTTATTTATATTTTTTCTTTCATTCCAACCCTTAATGCTTAATCACATGAAACCTACTATACTTTGCTTTATAAACTTATGCAATGATTTCCTTACTTGAAAGATATGTTTGACTTCTCATTGACTTTTAAGAATATAGCTCATACCTAGTGTGATGCACAATAGCCATGGTCACATGACCGTTTTAACCACATTTGGGGGCAGTGTCTCAAAACAACTGTGCTGTCGCTACAGTTAATTTTCTCAAAATACGACCATTTTAAGCTTCTGGTACGATAACATAACATTTCCCATCTGGTAATTCAAATGTTGTAACATGCATTACGTTATTATTGTTTTCTTGTCTATTACCACCAGCTACTGGACTGGAGTGGAATGGCATGTTGTAGCCATCAGTTGTTCATATGTCAGCAGCTTAATTTGCCTCATTCCCCCAATTTTCAGTAGACCACAGTGGAAATGCAGGTGATCAATGGTCTGTGGGAAATTTGTACTTCTTTCAAGAGTTCTAAAAGTTCCTGCACTTTTGGATGAAATAATGGCTTAATATTGTCAAGTCCCCACCTTAAAATGGAAAGTGTGTGTAATAGCATGTTGTGAGTTGGTGCGATTCAAAAATGTCTGAATTATTTCTGCATCTTTTTGTGAAGTTGATTCATCTTCAAACACTTGTTTTCCTTCACCCTTATTAACGTTGGTGACTTAGGTCTACAGTGATGTCACATGGACATTGTTTGTATCCATGCAGTGTCTTACAATGGCAAAGCATCATGGTAAACCTGAGCTAGTCTATAACAGATCTCATAGAAATGTCTCCACAGTACAATTTATAGATAGTTTGAGAACATTTGTAAATACATAGATGTGTGTGTGAAGAAAATACCAATACACAGTTGTTTTGTTTTCTTTATAGGTTGAATATTACTTACGCAAATACATAGTATTTCTTTACAAATATTGTAAGAAAATGAGAACACAGTTAACAGACGTCTTTCCATTTAATAAATATGATTGTAAATGCATAAAACAATTACACACAGCACAGTTGAGGTCAAACAAAAACACTGTAACACCTTACCGTCTGTTCTCATACAAAAGCTGTACAGTAATAAAACTCTTTTTTTTATTATTATTCATAATTTTTTACAAAAATAATAATCTTGCTAATCTTGCGTGGAGGAGGAGATAGAGGAGGGAAAGAGAGAGGACGAGAGCGTAGCTCAAAGCAAGTCTACTACTTGATGCTGTTTCCCACACCCTAGGGTGCTGTCACATCGCAGTTCATCCATGCCAGGAAGTCAGAGATGCATCATGTCACAGAACTTCCTGCCTGTTCGATCTGTCCTCCTCCCAGTGAAACTCCCAGGCCGGAGATGCTTTTATTATGATGGTCCTCCTGATCTTGTCTGGCTGTAGTCACTTCCTGCTCCCTGGGGTTAAAGTTACGATTAGCACTCAGCTGCTTTGCTCCATGGGTCTGTGGTTACACGCTACTGTGCTGCATGTCATCCCTCAAGCTGTTAAAACCAGAGCCAGACAAAAAAAAATCTGAAACATAAACTAAATCCTGCCATTATTCAACTTTATATCCTCACTTTACAAAACTAAAAAAGTGTGGGGACCCAATCATATTGCTACATTTCAGAGACATTTCACTGATCAACAAAAACCCAACCACGAGCAGGTTAAATCACCCTTATATACCATGCAATGGGATGAGATAAACCACCTCATACCTGAGCACAAATTAAGTCCTGCCGCCTCAGATGGATACACAAAGCTACATTGAATGTGAAGATGGAAACTGGATCGTTACCAAAAATCTTCTCAGCATGCAGCTTTGAAATATAAACACTTTCTTTCGTCTGGAGGATATGAATCGCTGTAGCAGATCATAGTGCGTTTCCTGGTGAATCTCATTCTTTCAGGGCAACACGTACCAGCAAGTCATGTACTGTACAAAACACAAGGTTCTATGCAAGCCCACACACTGGTGCACTCTTGACGTCTTGATGCTCACTGCCCACCGCTGCTCGTAACTCAAGAGGCAACCAGTAACTCACCCAGGGGAAGTTAAGAAAAGGTTTACGCAAAAATTCAGTTTTTGAGGAGAAAACAATCTGCTTGCACTGGTTCCGATTACTTTTTCTTTTCCCTTCTGTGAAACTGAATCACATGGTTGCTGGAAGTGAAAAGAAACAACCTGCTCTGTCACATGCCGGTGTAATAACAGTAAAATAAAAGCCTATCTGCAGCTCAATACGTGAGTTAATAATGTTTAACACAAAAAGGCCTGCAAGATTCAGGCCTTTTTCGTCTGTGTGTGAAGACACAGTCAGGATACCTCTCCACACTGTCTTACTGCTTCCATGTGAATCAACAGCAACAAAGCAGCATTTTTTTCATCATATACGCCTCTGAAATTGGCACAATCCACCATCTGTACCGCTTCTTCTGTCTGCACAGCGAGTTCGCTTTGGTGAAGTCCCACTGGAATAAAAAGAAGTTCCTCTGCAACTGTGTTCTCAACTATCATTGCCAACACTCTAACACGGCATATAGCTTGCTCCATATGTGTATATGTTAGGAATCCATCCCAGAGTTTAGAATAATGACGTTCTTTTTCCCACAACAGCTTAAGACAAAACTTTCTTTTGGCAGATCTCTAAAAAGCCAAGAGAAAATAATCCTCATTTTCCTGTTCCTTGCTATTGAGCAGAAATCAAATGCTATGCAAAGCAGCCACTGTGTGTCTCTACTTACATTCTCTTCTCTTGTGTAGGTGTACATACTGGGGCAATTTCTGCACAGCCACGACTGAGCAATTGTAGAGAATATCATCCAAAATTGACATAAACAATACTTGCTCAGTTTTTCTATATCTCCTCATAGGAAATAGAGAAAAACAAATCTGGAAATGTAGCCTCAGAAGATTTGAAAGGCATCAATCAGGCTTTTTACATCCGTCAGATTTCCCACTCAAAGTACCACAGGGCGTGACAGTCCCCTGAACAAGCTAACCATCTGTGTGGCCTGGTAGCATCTGCGCTCTACTTCTCCTGCTCCTGCAGCTCCATATAATGAGCTGGGATGAAGACGGCTGCAGCTCGAGAGGGGGGGGTCAGGACATTAGCCTAAATGTGTCACCAACCTTAGCCGGCCTTGAGCTTGACTGGCCACATTAAGTATTCAACAAGTCGACCTCTTCTTATTCTGTCTGATACAACATTCTTAATGCACCACGTCCCCCAAAAGCACTCTTCCATCTCTGTTAACCTCTCTCTCTCTTTCTCTCTGTCTTTGCTGTGGTCTTTGGATTCTCTCACAAAGCAGTTGTATCTCATTCCAACTGCCACCTCAGATCTTTGCCTTGATAAGGCAGCTGACTGCAACTTTGGAAAAGTTTTCTTTGGGGGACATTCACTCCCGCCACTTTTCTTCTTCCATTCCTAAAGGTTACAGTCTGGTGGTATTAGGGGATCAGTCGTGGATGGAAGGTGCAGTTCAGCGCCATTTCCATGAAGCTTTTTCTTATTTTGAAGCACAAAAACATTTTTACAAACTGGCATTTATCATAAATAGTATCAGGAGCATTAGATAAACAGCAAATTTTAAATTAATCCAGAAAACCAAACCCTGTATTTGCGTTTTGAAATTAAAATCTGAAAAAAAGAATTATTTCAGTAGAAAATGTGTATTGTGCCATAAATCAGCTTTCCAAGAGACAATGGACCAGAAGCTTTAGAGTACCCTATTCATATTTTATAACAGTATTTATGTTAAGTATGACATTTGTTATTAAAATACACACATTTCTAACATAGACATTCATGATTTACAAAATAAATGTTTTGTTCACTTCTAATAACATATTTCACAAAAGTATATTTGTATGAATAAATTATACACTACTGCTGTTAGCTTCATAGAACAGCATACCAATCTCGGATAAGCAAAGTCAAAACATTGTTGCTTATTTTATTTTCCCCTCACTGGTTCATGCTGCCGCTCTCTCTGGATTATGTATCCGACTCTTATAAATAAATCTCATTTTTAAAAAGTTTCATGGGTCAGACATATTGTTAAAGGAAATATATAAATAAAAAGAAAAACCTGTACACAGATTCTTCTGGTTTGAACAGAGCACAGTATGTGTCAGCAGGGTCCAAAATGCACAGGTATGTATAAAGCTCAAAACCATTGCGTCCCAAATGGTAAAATAAAAATAGAAAATTAAAAAAAATCCATGACACATCTGGAGTGGTCATCCAGTCCAGAGTTCAGACGATGTATGTGGGGAGCTCTGTGGAGAATTTCACATGTACATGAGGTTTCATACATCCTGAGGGAAGACAGAGCAGAGAAAGATGTCACCATCAGAGGATATTTTGTACTCAAGTCTAAGAAAAGTTGATACTTTAAAGCTACATTGGGTGATTTTCAAAAGCTGAAAACATTACCACGATCACCTTTACCTATTTACACATCCAGCAGACAGGAAGCAAAACTTCCATGCCTTTTAATCTCCTTTTAGCTCTGTTTTGGTTTCCCCAAGCTCCTAAAAAGAAATATCTCTCTCTGTAGTATGAAGCTTTTAAGTGTAAAAGAGTCAAAGAGTCAAGATTTTTTATCCAACAGCCGTGTTTAGGTTTTAGAAGCATCAGACATTAGAAGAAACCTGAATCAAATGGATGATAGATGGTGATGAAGAATGAAAAGCAGCTTTGAAGAATTGAAACACTGAATGACTAACAGAAGCAAAGTCAGTAACACGACTGAGTTAAGAAAATGTTGCTAATGTTAGCCGACAGAAACTTCGAGTCACAGCTGACCACAGTGTTCGGCTCAGTACTGGCAACAAACGTTTTTTTGAGAAGAGGGACAATGTGTGATTTATTTCTTTTCTTTTAGTTTTTCTGTCTAGTCTCACTTTCAAGAAAGTGTAGACCTGATGTGAGTACTGATACTGAAAAATGTTATATTCCATGGAGCCACAGCACTTGTGGGTAACAACACATTATGTCTGATCATTGTAGTGGAATGAGGATAATTGTGCCACACAGAGGATCGCTGAGTATTTTGTTGGATATAAAAAGTCCCTTCGTATTTGTATTATGAGAATTAAAGAGCGACAGTACCGAGCAGAACCATGTGTTAACTGCGTTGCTTAGAGGCAACCATACTTTCCGTCATGCTCATTTTTGTCTAGTTCTGGTTCTGCCCCTGACGAGACCATTTCACTTCTGAGAAACACAAAACCAAAAGCACAGGATGAGTCTATGAAACAGCAACACTTGAACGAGTTGATATGGAATATGCAATGGGGAGATGATGACAAAAAAATCTAAATCGCCTGCCACAGATGTGAGAGCATGATGAACCAGAGGGGGGGTTTACCGATGGGCCGTGAGTTCAACTCTGTGTCCAGAATCTCCAAAGAATGCACCAAGTCCCGCTGTGAGCCGGGCGGGGCCTCTGTTGGATTAGCTGGACTCATCATTTCTTGCTCTTTTTCATTCTGCATCTGCGCATAGACGTTGAGGCCTGGGATCTTCCTTGAGAAAAGATTTACAGTCAGGCAAATAAAGGGATAAAGACGGCAGCCTGACTCAAATAGAGTAAGAGCTCAACCAACGGCTCGCTAGTATCAGTGTGACCACCTGTAACCACGCAAAGTTGTAAAACCTGATACCATCAAGTACATTTGCATGTAAATCATCATTTACACAAACACTAAAAGTGACAAAGGTCTGTGAATCCAAAGTTTCATTCTAGCTCTACTTGTCAGTAAATCTTCACAACCCTTTGTGCCCTTTTCCCTTGAAACTGCACCTTGGCAGGGAGACATAATTTAACATTTCAGAAAGGTCAAGTGCTGATGTTCAAAGGGCTTAATATTGATAGCGGCTGAAGGCTGACTGACATTTCTTTTGCAAAAAATGACCTGATCATAGAATCTTCACAGGATCCAGCAGATGTGTGTGTGTGTGTGTGATGGGGGGTGAGCCAATCCTCCACTGGGGAGCGCTCGGTATGCCTGCATAGATGTTTGACAGGCAGCCATCAGCCCTCCCCTGCAGCCTTGCAGCCAGCGTTTGTTTACCGAGCTTTCAGAAGGCCTTGACACATATCAGCGGCACGTACAGCGTGACAACTTCATACGGCATGACACGACATTTCATGAACACTTTACCTCTTGAATTTGTAGATGACAAACACGGCTAAACCCACAACCACCACGGAGAGCAGCATTAGCATGGCAGAGCCGCTGTGGTTCTCGCTGGTGTCCACTAGGGGCGCTGGAGAGACAAGACGAGACAAGAGCCGCAGAAGCTAAACAACACAGCAGCGATAACACAACCTGCTGAATCATGCAACGAGCAGCGAGCAGGATAATTGACACCTATGTAACGATGAATCATTTTAATGTTCAGTAGTATGGACTTCTCTTACTCTTTATCTTATAAGCCCCTTTAGGACAGTAGCAGCATCCCCACTAGGAAGAGGCACACATACTTGTAACGGTGCTCACTCTCTGAATGTCTCTGTGTAGCTACATGTAGGGAGCCAATCAGACACAGGGTTGGGGTTGTTAGTTGATGGGGCAGAAAGAATAATAAGAAATCTAAATATCGAGTTTATCTTAGTCTCCTACATGCTTTACTTTCTGTGCCAATTACTACAGGAAGTACAAAGTTCTCTGGGCAGAACTAAACAAACCTGCTGATAGATGTGCTGTGTACACAGTGACTTGGACCCCCGGCCGCAGCGTGAACTGGACAAGGTTCTGGTTCAAGGCGCTCAGCAAAACCTCCGAGAGCTGTTGGGACACAGAGGGAACAAAACCAAATGTAACTGCTGAGAAAGGTCAGTGCCAAGATCATCACACCTCCCAGACAGTCCCATCTATCTTTCCCTTTGAGTCGTCATTTGTTAACTGACATTTCAGAGTCCTGATCAATCTCTCTACACGTTCATCCAATTTGTCAGACAGAAAAATAATCGAGCCCAAACATCACTTGCCCTTGACAGCACCGCTGAAGGTGCATCGCTCTACATGTCTGCCTTGCCACTTTGTGAATGACTGCCACCATACAGATAGTGGACACAAATATAAGTTAAGTAAATCATTGAAAAAAGGTAAATTAAAGGCACAGAAGAAACTACATGGATGGTTTACAGTCTGGGAGCTGGTACATCTCTCAGTTGTAAGATATATATGAGGGATAAAGAAATGATTACTAAGAGGAGGGATGAACAGGGGCTGAAATCTCAAGGCATCCATTTAGAGACATGGTGTAATGACTGTATACAAAGACGACGACAAGATAGCTCTAAGGAGTGAGATCCAAACAATCTTGATTGTCCTGTCCTGTCCGTGTTAGCAGATGGGCCCGGACATTACGAAAAAACAACAGGACATGTGAATTAATTTTCTGATATGTTAGGTAGTTGTTATCACAAGGGTTCATGTTGAGGTGTTCATTGTCTGATAAGTATTGTTTTTTGACAGTATAAAAATAGAGTGGGGTGTCATGATTGACAGGTGGGAGTGACTCTTCGACTGCTACATGCTCCAGTTTGCTCACCAGCTACAGTCACTGATTTGTTTACCTGCTGTTTAGTGCTGAGCAGGTCTCATAAAGCCGGATCTAAAAGCTTCTTCGCTGCCTGTTGCAGCTTACCACGAATTTGATGGGAGCTTTGTTTGTTCGCAGCTCAGAATCCCGAAACAATGACTTGAAATACCCATATTATGCGTTTTTGGGTTTTTCCCTTTCCTTTAGAGTCATACAGGTTGTTTTTTTTGTGTGACTGTAAAACTTCTTCTAAGTTCTAAAAGCCACAGTGTAATGGATCCTTCTCTCCCACAGACAACCCTGCACCTGAAGAGCCTGAAATGCCTCGTTCACATTCCTGACTTGTTTTCTGTAAAATCGGCTTGACTGTTGCTACAGAGGCTACATTGGTATTACCACCTGATGAGGAAACCTCTGTGTGAGGGACGGGGGCATTTCTGTCACTCACTCCAAGAGGTTGACTTATCACAGACAAGTGAGTCAGCTGACCAATCGGAGGAGAGTGCACTTTTTGGCGGGAGAAAAAGAGGCGTTTACAATATGACACAAATAACTGTATAACGCATGTAAACCCGTTCTAGTCAAGCCCTGAATGAAAATTAATATCTAATACAACTTTTAAGATTTATCAACCTACAGCTGCTGTCACTTGAATATTTGACCTCGATCTACACTGTAGAAAATTATAAATACATAAAAATAACTATAGAATTGAAGGGACACCATTGTGATGCACTTCTAAAAAGAATCTTAAGGAGATATTGTTAGTTTCTATGCTGTTGTAGTGAATTCCATTATTTGTCAGCACCCATGACCCAAGACAACCTCGCTGTCTCCACCAACGACCCCATCTGAGCTTCTTTATTTATGTAAGAGTCTTTGTCTGTGGGACCTTTCCACCGTGATGCATAATGCATACAATGCAGCCTCACTTGATCTCTGCTTTCCAGAATGGCAAGTCACTCTCTGCACAGAGAGCATCCAACTTTGATATAAATCAGACAGATTACCCTGACCTGAAGGTAAACTATAGAGATCCAGAATCCAATCTCATCCACTCTCAGTCTATTCCCCCACAAAGATTCTCCAATTCGCCCAATTATAAATCTCTATCCTGCGGGTCTTATCCTTATAAATAATCAAAAAATTTAAGTGATGGTCCAATATCATAAAGCAGTTTTTTTTCTGTGTTTAATCTGCATGCATGAAGCAAAGCAGATATTAAGCTGCATAGTGAAGACATAAACAAACAAAACAAAATCTTCAGTTTCCAGATCCTGCTTTGTTTGCTGTGCAGAAGCTTCATTTATCTTATCTGCCTCATTTGTCATATAAATAGTGATATGAGTCAGTCCTCCATTCCTTCCTTTTATTTCTAAACAGTTTAATTTTAGACCACACTAATTACTCTTTCCCAATGTATACCAGGGTCAGTAAATCTATTATACATTCTAACAAGTAGAGCTCGCTCTACACTTTTAACATGCCAACCTTGAATGAAGATTTATCACTGCCTTGTAGGCGAGAGGATTGTTCCAGACGATCAACCTTGATTTCCTTCCCGGTTTCTCTTCTCTTTCTCTCTCTACACACGCCTTGGAGTTTCTTCCCACCGACAGGCAGATCCAACATTATTATCAGACATTATCTGTTACGTGAGTCTCTGAGCTGATTCGGTCCATCTTGATACGGCGGTGATTTAGTGGACTGATCAACCATGACAATTTTCTTTGTCTGGCTTTTTAGGTCCCTTTGAGGCCCCAGCCACCCTCCAACCCCTCCTTCCCACTCCCACCTTAAGGCTCCATATGGGATGCGAATTGTGAGAGTTTAAAAAAAGTCACTCCCCCGATAACTTGTTAATACTTGTCAGGCATATTGATGAGTCTATTGCAGAGATTCCTCAGGCGTCTTCTAGAATTAGCCCCATAGAAAAAAGAAAAAAAACTAAACATGCTTCAGTGGATCAACGCTGACATCTGCTGGAGGAAGGTGAAACTTAAACTTTTCAGGGAGCAAATATTGGACAAACTGGTGCCGTAAAAACTTATTTCACCTATGAGATGAAATTGAAAAATAGGAAACAACACTTCAAACATGTGCATGGTGTTATGGTTAAATGGAGAATAACAAGGTGAAATCCATCCATCTACACAGATACTGTCCAGCGGCTGCCGTTTGTTTCTACCTGATCTAAATGAGCAGCAGTCTTCTCTGGCTTCCCCTCAGTTGACTGTTTGTCAGGCAGGAGGAAGAACTCTGCTGCGGTTGGTAAACCTGGGAGGACGGCGACCAGGAGATTGTCCTCTCTCATGCCTGTGGCCTGGAGGGAAACATGAGGGAGAGGAATGTTAAAAGAGCTCGACAGAGGGTGCCCCCCCCCCAGCTTCAGGCTCGGCTGGGTACAGAACCTCCACATGTGTCTGGTACAAACAGCAATGTGTCTGTAGCAACAAGTATCAAAACATGTACAACACAGCTCACAGCAAGAGCTCGCTCAGATTCAGAATCCTCTTTTCTGTGACTGATCTGTGTCTTATTCAAATCCCAATTTGTGTGTTTAGTTTTATTTAAATTCATTTGGACAGACATGCTGATTTGTTCAGATAGCATTAGGTGTTTGAGCTTGGTTTGTAAAATAACCAAAATCCTCTGTTTTATGTGTGGGTATTTGTTGGACTGTTTCTCAGCTGCAGCAAGTGATTCCCCCAATTAACAAACTATTGCTTTAAATGAATAATAATCACAATATACAATAATGATAATATAATAATAATAATGGCTCAGAATTTTGCCCCCATATACCTTTATGGCTTCGGTTTGATTTATACAATCGAATATCTCTTATAAAAGTTTTCTCAATTATGAAACATTACCAAAACCCAGACAATGCTCTGAGTGGATTAAATGTTAATATTCTAATTTGAGTTGCCCTCAGTTATTAGGCTCAGTTATTAGCAAACACTGACAGAAACAAAGTTTTAGCAGCAGGGGCATCATGCAGGTTGCCCTATTTTATTAGGGTTGCTTGTTGTTTGCAGCTTGAGAAGAAGACTGCAGGCCAAAACACTGCCTGTCCTCCTCATGATAGCCAATATATTTCTAGGATTTTCTTTTCCCTAAAAAAGTTCAAGATCCAAAACACAATGTCTGACGCCTCTATTCACTTCAGTGGCAGAGAGAACCAAGGGTTTATAATACCAGAAACAGGCCTTACATCTGTGGTTACCCTTGTATATTGTAGCAGGCGTCAGGTCGAACCTTCAACTTTGTTCTTTTACCCTAAACATGTTAAAACCACTGTCACAACTAAACATGGCATCTTCTCAGGGCCTAAAGTAGAATTAGATCTGATGGCCTCCATTGCCTCTATGCCACCAATACTATTGACTATGTCATAGTTGTGATTGCCCTGTACACTGTATGCTACAGCATCTATGCAGCAGCGCACATCCTTTCTTCAACGGAGGGTAAAAATTGTATCGATTTTTTCACAGACCACCAACACACAGAGAGCCAGCGTGACAGAGAGAGAGTGTGCGAGCGTGAGAGAGAAAGTGTGAGAGAGAGAGAGAAAGTGTGAGAGAGAGAGAGCGAAGGCAAGAGAGAGAGAGAGACCCAGCTCTGCAATGAAACAATGTTGCAAAACAGAGATCTTGTATGTTATAAGTGTGTTGAAGATGTTTAGCTCATTCTAACACTCTGGTGGGGCAATTAAATATTAGGGCAGACATACGTCAGTAATGTTTAGTAAACCCTCTGGTGCCCATAGGGGCTCTAAGTAATAGTTTAGTTGTCTAATGCGTATTATTATGAGCCCTGAAAATAAGCTTTTAACGTGAAAAACACCTGAAAAACGAGGTCAAAAAAACTGTCCTATATTTTTGACTGGCCTTTATTCCTTCATGATGGCTACAGCCCTGTCCTTTTAATATGTATTAGTAAATCTATTTAGATGTGTCTTAAAAACAGAACCTGTACAAAAAAATTTTTGGGCCCATAATACCACAATCTGTCTGTATATCATCAAATGTTATGATATTCTATAGTCTATGATAGTAAAAGCCCTATTGTAACACTTGATATAGCACCTTGTGTGTATCATTTAAATTATTATGTTCAACTCTGCCTGTTTGTTAGTATGATACTAAATCATTTTATTGACTCCTGCAAGAGCCCCCTGGTTCTTCCTCCAGCTCGTGCGTGGCTGTGCTGCAGTGACGCCTGTGAATGTTTTGAGTTATCAGGTCATATTTTCATCTGAAACTTTTACTTATTTATTTATTTATTATTCTATGTTCTGCCTTCCAGGCGGGGGTTGTCATAAGAAAACGATGTCAATAACAAATAACAAAACAGACAAGTTCACTGAAGACTGAGGAGCCGGGTGTATTTTTGGCATCAGTTTTGATTTTGCAGGATCAAAACGTGTGAAAATATGATGCAAGGTTCCGATTGCTTCATCCTCGGGATCGGAGATATATTGACGTACTAAGGATGTTGTGAAACAACATGAAGTTAATAGGGCAAAATCTGTGCCTGACATGTCATGTATGGGTTTGAATTATCTGCTGCACTTTGCAGGTCACGAAGCGCCCGTCTCCAAGCCTCCCTTCAGGAGAGTGTCAAACACACATTAGACACATACTGACATTTATTCCTCTGTACGCTTCATAGCGTTACTGTATGTCCCTGAACTCAAAGACTGTGTGCAAGCCACTGCAATCAGCATGCTCTTGAACTATATTTTTACCCCCTCTTCTCCCTCATGGCTTGTCATTTATCATCATAAAAGTCAGATTTATGTGTAGAAGCCTCGGGGAGGTCACGCTGCACTCATACACCGTCAGAGGTCCAGTCAAGCGGTGACAGTATTTACCAGAGTAAAGCAACGGTTTCCATGAAAGAGAGAGAGCTTTACCTGGATCAGAGAGTTCTTGATGACTCGGCTCACGTCCAGCCTCCATTCGGCGACATCGGGGTTGTGGTCATCAAGGTTTGATGAAAAGGCGAGCAGATGAGATCGGAAATATTCTGCCGAGAGGTAACGTGTGTGAGATGCTTTTTAGTTTTCATCATGAAATGCAGTGTTCAGTCTTGAGTTTTAGAATCTATCTATGCATCTATCCAACCATCTATCTATCTATCTATCTATCTATCTATTTTAGAGGATAACTCTCTAATGTCAGTTTGTTAAAACTTTGGTCTTTAGTCTTTTTTTGCATGATTTCAGATGTCATCAAAGTAAATGTTAAGATTGGGGATAAGCCACCTTGATATGATGTAGTCCAACAAGAGATCAGACCATCAGACAGGTTCCAGGCCAACAGTTTATTTACCAGACCTCTAAACTCACCTACCCAGTTACTTCAGTTACTTCAGTTACTGCAGTTACTACTGCATTACATATGTGAGGATCTGAATATATAGAACTAGTGGATTGTTTAATGGCACCGATGAATAACTGGTTTTTAATTTTAATCATACACATCAGGCTGATTCTTGATCTGCTTAATGAGCTCAACGTAAAAGCCACTGTCAATGAGTCACACTAGTGCAGCTCTAATTGTAATAATGAAAAAGATTATTAATGAGCAACAACAAAAGTCCACAGGACTTGAAAAGGAGTAAGTTCCATAGTTGCGTATCCCAATTTCAAAGCACATTCTGCTATAGATCTGAGCCTGGAGCGGGGCAAAACCCGAAAAGCCCTGATCACAGGTCTTCAGAGACCTGCTGAGGATGTAAGGACGCAATGGCTCCCAAATGAAGGCAGGTGCTTGAATGTGCACTGCTCTAAAAGTGATGGCAAGGGTGTTAAATAACACCAACATAAGTACATCAGGTTCAAATTAAAGCACAAAGTCTGTGAGCTTCGATGGGTTTTTAAAAATAGACAGGCAGGTAGGTAAGAATTAATCACTCTGACTTCTAAAGTCCTCTTCTAAATGAGTTTGTTTAATGTGGTGGTTTGTTTATAACCTGTCTGATCATCAGCTTAAGTGATTATTATTAATAACCCTTAATCATGAGAACAACCCTTAAGGATCACTTAATGGGGAGCATGATGTTAAGTTAAAGTTTGAACAAAATTAAGACCTCATTGAAATTAAGCAGAACGGTCCTTAACGAGTGATGAGAAACGTCTGTGTATATAACTGCATAGACTGTGGTGACACATCTCATCAGCCTGTTTACAGAGCTACAGAATCCCAGTGGAGATGGAGTCAGAGCGTGGGCTCACCGTGGACAGCGATGGTTTTTCTGTCCTGCAGAATAGAATTCCCTGCAGACACCTGCACGGTGACTGTGTTGATGCCTTCCCTGGAGAACATGCATGCTACACTTCCCTCTAGGGTGATAACTGGCTGCTGGGGAGAGAGACAGAGGCGGAGAAAAGGTAGAGGAGAGAGAGATGGAAATGGAGAGAGTCAGAGTCAGGGGCTTCCCAAGAGAGACCCTTATCAGCGGCTGCTTAACATCCTACCACTGCTGTTATTTACACTACGGAGGTGTCAGCCTGCGAGCACACTCACAAACACACATGCATGCACAGGCATACACAAGGAGCTTTGCAACAATCCGCCTTGTGCTGCATACAATATCACAGCCCGCAGAGAGTTCCCTGTGTGACACCAGCAGCTATTTCCAGTCATTTCTCACGTCTCCATTTGTTCTTCAGATAGCTATAAAATGCTAATACTGCTGCGGTTTATTACCAGCTGACATAACTGGCTGTCCTTGTGGAAGGCCCCTGTTGGTGCTGAACAAACACATTTACACAACTGCAAACAGATTGCAAGAGTGGGGCAGTTCCAGGGAAGAGAGCATCTGTTGGTCCAGAGAGATAGAGGGTGAGTTTCTCTGTCTCGAAACTTTACTAGTATGTTAAAACATTTTAGAAGTCAGAAGTATTGTGTTTCTTTACAGTCACAGATAACAATTCATGATTACATAACAGTTGGCCAATGGTTAGAGAGCTACATTACATTTGGAGGGTAAAGGCCCATCATTTTGAAGGTGCTCTCAAACAATCCAAGCAGTAACAAGAGAACTAATGAGCATGGACATTCAATCTTAGTTGAAATGACAATATCAAAAGCTTACAGCATAATAAGGATGTAGCGAAGCAGGAGGGAACTGCAGAGGACAAACGGGATTAGCATCAAATCGTCATGTTATAATGGCTACAATGTACAAAGACGATTGGACGGCTGTTTGCCACTGGGAACCACCAATCAAACTGCTGATGCCAGTCAGCTAGGGCTTGACCTGAGCAATCACTATGTTCACATCTGGTAACGTTAAGTGTGTCATTTGGAGTCCTCTTAGCTAGCCAGATAGCATAATAGGCCTTCAATCAGGAATCACTTGATTTTGGATGCTGCATCACTGCTACTAAGCTGTTGTTGGCAAAAATAACATGAATCAAGCATGGCTGCAAACAAAGTCAGTGGAAAGCTGCAAGTAATCATAGGTGGATGCAATCTTGCTCTGTGGGGGTGCAAACTGAGACCCAGGTGTTCCTGCATGAGTTTAAAACGTTTAAACCCTGATTCGGTGTGGAGTGTATCCAATGGACATGGTTAGTAATAAAAAGGGATAGTTCACAGAAAAATTTCAATTCACTCATTATCTACACATTAAAACACTTTAGTTTTAGGAGTAGCTATAAACAGTGTTGCAGCCAAATCCCCTGAGACTCCAAAAGTATTTTGTGGACTCAAACACTTCACCCACCCCTCCATCTGCATAGTGGTGAGTTTTCATTTTTCAGTGAATTATCCCTTTAAGCCTGCTGGTGTATTTTGTTATGTGAGGATGCTTTGCAGTTTTTAATATTGGCTGATCAATGAAAATATTTTTTGCAACCTGGATGCATGAATGTAGCTCAACAAAAAGAGTCAGCAACCTACTTAATAGCCAATGGGCAGCAGAGAAGCGGAAAAGCCCTGAGTATACATTACCTCTGTGTTATTTCCGATCCACCAGATGTAGGTGACCGTTCCCACTTGGCTGGGCCACAGAACAGCAGTCAGATTCACTTCCTTATTCTTCACCGCCACAAAGGGAGCTGAGAGATGGATATACTCCAGCTGACCTACTCCGGCACACACACAGTATACATAATGCACTGACAACAAACTGCAGCACAATGTGCAAAAAGAACGAAGAAATGGGAAAAACAACTATCGCTTCAAATGAAGAAAAAGAAGGGAGAGTGGGTTTATAGGTTGGTGCAGAGTAGGGAGAGAGGGGTTGGAGAGTTTGTTCAGAATTCGCTCCTGCACTGGGACCATTGGCTGCCATCTGTGTGTTATTTTTCATTTGTGGCACTCCTGAGCCTGTGGTGGCTCTATTTGTACGGTTGGCACATAGGATTGACAGATTGGTGGGGGCAGCAGTGCTCCCTGATCAATAAGTCAGCTCTGTTGCATCTGTCACCCTGTGAATACACCAGGGGTGGTCAGTCCTGTTACATACGAGGCTGCAGAGGCTTCAGTGGCTGCGGAGCGTAAGTTGAGTTGAGTGGAAGTGTAATGGGATTTGTTCTACCTCACTTGTTTGTTTGGTTATGGGAGGGGAGCGTGTACCTCTAAGAGATAAAGTACAGAACGTGGTACACTGTGTACAAAGTGGCAGCTGCAGTACTGCTGAATGTAATAGAAAGCAGAATGAGCTGGAACCAGGAGCACAAGAAAACTGAGGGATCTCTTTTCTAATTAAATACAACCCTAAACAAATAAATACAAAACTCCTCTCACATGTTACATGCAGGTACAGCATGGCGGTCTCTGAACCCAGATTGTTCTCTCCAGTGGCGATCACCCGGTAGATTCCCACAGCCCTGTAGATGTGTTTGATGCCATCCTCAATGGAGCTCACATTGGAGTACGTCAGAGCGTGGCCATCTCCGAAGTCCAGGGTGATGCTTGTCCTCGCTCCGTCACCCTGTGCAGACAAACACTTTCAGGGTCGGGTCGATCAGGTTAAAAGTTAAGACGTTGCCCAAACCAGCTGCAGGACACACAACACTTTCACTGCAGGCATAAAGTCTTTGGTTGTTCCTGCAGGTCATTAATTGCCAAGTGAAAGTATGAAAGCTACATTTCTTTACATGTCCAACAACTTAAAGACTTAAATTTGAAATGAAAGAAAGTGATTTAGTCAGTTGATTTTCAACAAATACAGTTGATATTATAAATTAAAACAAATAGTTCTGATGCAGTCCTGTTGACTGTAAAGACCAGAAAACTGTTAAAGGGAATTATTCTACTATTACAATGTATCCTGGATCTTTTGTTACTTCAAAGCAATTATCCATGTGTAATATTAGCATACAAACTTAAGCGCATGGCATGAATATCACATGGGCAGGGCTCAGCAAGATTGTTTAGTCTCCACAAAAAAACATCCAGTCAACCATTAAAAAAAGACATTATTTTAGGTATGTGAGCTGTCACAGACTAAAGCATGAAAGGAGAGAGAGAGAGAGGAAGTCACTTAGCGAGAGTACAACCTGCTGCTGAGGACTCAAGCCAAACTACACCTGACATTTTCTTAAGTGTGATGAAGCAGCAGGCGCAGCTGCCAACACCAGTCATATATACATATATGTATTGTATATGCCTGTATTTCCACTTAGCAGGAAATCTTTAAGGGAAAGAGACTGAGTGTTTAGTGTCAGGACAACCTCTGCTTTGAAAGTCTGATTTAAGGAAAAACTGAAGAAAAAAAAAAAGTCACATAGAAAAAAACAAGAATTCTGATATTACCCACGTTTGCATTCTGAATATAGTGACGTTAGTGTGAGACAGTACATGAGGCTTTTTGAGAAGTACAGAAAACATCTTACCTCCTCCAGAAAAATGAGGAAGGTGACATTGGTGCCTAACGTGGCTGTCAGTGTGCCCTCGCTGGTGACCAGGTGGAGACCTTTGGGTGCTTGGATGGGACACTGCCGCCTCCTGGCTGTGTACTCCACACTGACTCCAGCTGTACAGTTATTAGAGACCACTTTCCTGTAGCTGAGGGTAGGAATACACCAACGGATGAATATTTAGAAACATGTGGCGGATACAAACCCAGGTGTACTGCTCTGTCTTACAGAAGCCAAATACATTAAGTGTTCATTCAATCTTGTTTAGAATAAAAAATGTCTATGCCGTGCCCCGCAGGAAACCGTACAGCAGTCTGCACCTGAGTCTGTTTTATAAATGGTGCAAGAGATTAATTTCCTCTCCAGCAATCATCCATTCATGGACGTAGATATGCTCTCAGATGAAACTGTTACGCACGGCTGTGGCTATTTATAGCACCTGTACCACGGACTCATCACACATGCTTAACATACACACAGCATAATCGCAGTCAGATCTCAGACAACATCATTAAACCTCACAAGCACGATCAATGATTTATCTAGAGAGTTAACATTGAAACAACACATCAAAGTGCTTCACAATCCAGGATCAAATCAAAAGGTGATTAAAACTCAAAACCAAAAGAATAAAACTCATATTTAAAAATCAGAAGAAGACCGTACTATATTCTGTGATTAGGGTCACTTTAATAAACGATTTGCTGTTTATGTTGACAAATATGATTTTGACTGTTTGTTGGTCTGAATTCTACATTAAGAATTTTAAAAAAGTTAAATTACTTTTCTGCCTTGACCAGTGAAAAGTACATTTAGAAAAGTAGATATCGATGCCACTTTCTCCTCACTTGTTTCATTAAGTATCATGAATGAAAAAAAGAGTCTTGGGTCCAAGTGCTTTAACATGAGCCGAGTCTGACAAAGGTATGCTTCTCTGACGTGGTAAGGTTCTCCATAAAATAGCTTCAAGCTGTTTCTGATATTAATATATTCTTAATATCCTGGGCTGTCAACTGAAGTGGGGTCATCAGGTGATTCGCTGTACATACTAAACCTGAATTGGACAACATTTTCAAGTCAGGTAGAATTTCAGCAAAATCATTCATAGGTTGATGTCTGGACAAGGTGGGGGTAGGGATGCTTGAGTAATGACCCACACATGTTGTTGGATTTCTGGCAATTCAAAACTATGACTTGAAAACACTATTCCTCCTACAGCAGATCACATCATTCCTGGTGCTTTATACCCTGACCTATAAAACATGAATGCACTATTCATTTCACCCAGTGCCTGAGAGTCACTATTGAGACAGAGTGCTGATTCTAGTCTGCTCTCGTCCAGGCCTGTGTTTACCCAGTGCTGTTAAGGAAAGTCATCCCCGTTGTGCAGCTCCTGGACATCGATGATGGATGGAACCAAAAGGCGGGGCTGCAATTTCCATTGGTCCGTCTCTCATAGCCATAATCACTGTAATGTTTTGGGCAGACAAAAAACAGACTCGGTTATTCAATCAGGAACCACAAAACAAACACAGAGAGGACACTGATGCAAATATCCCTCAGGCTCTGCTTGGAAAAATCCAATTCTAAAATGTGACACAATCTTCTTAAAGTGTGGCATGTACTTACAAAGCAACTGATGTTACTCTGAGACAAATCAATCAAAGGATAATAGCATATCTAGCGGTGATTGAACACATTTCATGTTAAAATTCGGATGCATAATTTTTACATAAGTTGAATGTTGTTTTAGCGTTGACTTCACAGTAGTTTCAGCAACTGCTGCGCAACTCTTTGGTGCTTTTGAAACGCAGCCTGCAAGTTGTTTGTCCTACAAATTAGATGGCAGAGCAGCACTATGTCCCCAAAATGATCGGGACAAATTGCCCCAATTAGTGCGACATGCACACAGATGCAAAAGTGTTGTGATTGTTAATGAAAGCTATTAGGCCTGGTGATTTATGGTTTTGGTGGCGTTTATTCCAAGACCTGCCTGACTCAAGAGACCTGCAGACTTGGGACAACGAACAGTAATACTCTGGATAATTCAAAGAGAGAAGGATGAGGAAAAACATTCTTTGTAATATAAAGATTCATCAGTACAAGATACAAAGCTGTGTAAATACATTTGTGCTTTTGAATCCTTTGTCCTTTAAACTGCAAACAGTGACACACATTTAGGTGAAATACATATATATATACACATACTGTATACACACACATACACAGTTAGCACAACTGATTGGTTGTTTTTATTTCATAACATCACTTAACATTTAATTCAAATGTCTTCTTTCATTTCCTTTAACAACCTAAAGACTTGTGCTTTTATTCTGTGATATGTCAGAAAATAGTCTGAATATGACACTGCCATGTAAACAGCATCTTCTAGTCTTACTTGGAATAAGCAATAATTGAATCAAGACATGGAGTATTCCGATCTTAGCCGTACCATGTAGACATGAATACATCCTAATCACATTACAACGTCCTATTGGAGTTTTCACAGCATGTCTGGCAGTTACCGAGTGCCCTGGGTGTAAACAAAAATAAAAAAAAATAAAAAGGAGTTGTACCTTTTGCCAGATTGGACAGAAAACCCCCAAAATGGTATTCTGTAGTGTTGTACATGAAACTATTTCAGGTTGGGGTTTTCAAACTGCAATAACATTAGACATAATGGCATAGTCATAATCAGACTATGCTGTGTAACAAGTAAATGGTAATATGAATGGAAAAACTATTATGTTACTCTTATAAACATCATAATCGTAAAATGGATAACGATGTCTGACAATCATATTTTCATTGTAAGAAAATACAATGATTTACTTTAATAGGACAGAATACAGCATGTGGATATCTGTGTTTGTATAAAGAATGCACTTCTCAGATGTTGCCACTTCTTACATTTTATTCCTTGACACTCAGTATTTAATGGTTAATCTATGCACCAGTTTAGTCCAGAGCATCTGGCCTCCCCTTTGCAGGACCAGCTTCATCTGAATGAGTCATCAGCAAACAGCTGTAAGTGCAAAGTTGCTTCATATCTGCTATAGGCTCAGTGGCACAGAGAGTGGGTATAAAACGGCCAATGGTCCTGTTCCCACACCCTCTCCACTTCCTGCCTTTTCAAAACCTCCCTCACTATGTGAAACAACCTCCAAGCAAACTGCACTTAAAAAAAACAAAGATTCACCCTCCCTTGAGAAAATGTTCCACCAAAACATGTTCCCCCCCAACACTATTTTACAGAAGCACCATCACTGCGTCCTAGCCTTATAGCATCGCCTAAGACAGAGGTGAATTTAGAAAAAAATACAAACAGGGCTGTTCCACATTTGTGGCGGCTGTGGCTGAGAGATAGAGTGGTCGTCTTCCAGCCATAAGTTCGGCAGCTTGAATCCTAGCCCATGCCGAAGTGTCCTTAGGCAAGATGCTGAACCGATATGTCCCCTCATGGTTGTTGAATGCACTAATTGGAAGTCGCTTTGGATAAAAGCATCCTCTAAATGATTTGTAATGTTAAAAAATTACAGAGCCCAGATTTCTCAGAGAATTATTTCACCTGGCAACTAATTTGTGAGTCATTGGTAATGATTTCACATGGATGTACAAACAGACTGAGGGCAAAGAGCCATGGGCGCGAGCTTTTCACAGCTGTGAAGAAATACAATTCATTTGTGGATGGTTAAGGACGGTTGGTAGTGAGAGAACTGCAAGAAGATAACAATAAACACAGACGGTGATACATTTGTACAAGAGCATTTCACTTTCTATTTTAAATAGAAGCAGCTCTTCCAATAATGGTGATCGAGTCCCTGCACACTGATATCCTCTATACGAACCATTGAAGCAGTATACAATGAAACACAATGTGAAGTATTAGTATATGACAATGGCAGTGTTTCCAAGTACTGAACATAGAAACCAGTCTTAACATTTTGTTTCCTTTTTCCTTGTTTTAATAATAAACCAGGGAACATTATGTAAAACGGATTTAAGCTGCTTTTGATTATCTAGGATCTGGTGGAAAAGGGAGTAATGTTTCCTCTCCTCTCAGTGTGGTGCTCTGAGATCGCATACCTTTTCCAAGGCTAATGCCCTATCTCCCCACGTCAAAGCATTAATATAGACGCCATATTCAACAGTTGCATAATGAATACTTTTACCCTTAAATTTCATAAGTGATCTCTAACTTTGTATAGCTGTGTAAAAAGTTAATCCACAAAGTTATTAGCGTCCACGCAGTTAGACATCATAGTTACAGCTGCAGTTGTGAAAGTGCAAGTGGCACACATATATTCGCAAATGTTGCAGGTCAAACGTTCACCGAAGTTGAATTCCACAAGAAGCAAATGATTACTCTTCCTTGGCTTGCACAGATCGGAGCTGAGAAACTGCTATATATTCGTATGTGTGACTGTATGTGCCCTTGGTGTGTACCCGTCACTCGGAATCTGCTGTGCATGAGAGCTACTTTTGTGCATGTACACCTCCACTACCATTACGTATTGAATGACTTCAGTGGGGAAAACCCCAGAGAAAATCAAACACAAGTTCTGGATAACAAAATATAATATGCCACAGGGCTCTCCCACACACAGCCAGAGACATACGTGTTGCATTTCAGCATCAAACAGACGACACAAATCAAACTCGACACAAATCAAACTCGACACAAATCAAACTCAACATAACACTCAACATAAACTCCAGCGAGTCCGTGAGGCCTCTGCCTTTTGTACCTGAGGATCAATCAGCTAACGGCTCTCACCTGCTTGGTCCTCTGGTCCAGGTGAAGCTGCTCTCCCTGTTACCTCCACACACATCTTTTCACTAAGTCTCATGGAAATCAATCCAACATGTCTTTGTTACATCTTGCTAACAGACAAAACAAAAACATAACCTCCTTGGCGGATGTAACAATATTAGTATTCAAATACACAACCTTATAAGTTGCTCTTCATGGGTATATTATTTAAACACATTGTTTGGGAAGTCAACAGACACAAATGGAAGGAATAGAAGTTGAGAGTTCAGGTCTAATAAACCCAGATCCCCCAATTTCCCATAATGCAGCTAAAATGGATCTTGTTGACACCCACACATTTCAAAACCCTTTCCTGAGTTTGTCAGAGACTTATGTATTTTAAGTTTGCAGAGTCAAAATCGAAGCAGAAATAAGCTCAATAACATTTTTAAAAGCCACAGAAAAAACAGTTTTCACAGGTAGAGTAGTACTCAAATTGATCAAATTTGATGGAACTCTCCATGAACAGCCATAGAAAGTTCATGCAAATGGAAAAAAAGAGAAGTACACTCACCACTCAAAGTCAGCCTCTGTGCATTCGCACAGGCCCGACGTCATTGACACCGAGTACGTCTTTCCCATAACACACCTGGACGTGGGCTTTAGTTTCCGGTAGATTCTTTTCACTCCCATGAGGCACGGCTCACCCTGTGGGCCCCGTTTTGAAAAAGAAAAAAATGGAAAATCATACAGAGAGTTAAAAAAATAAAAAAACAAGCAGCTTTTGTTACACCACCATAAATAATTTACACGATGCAACCAACCATGTGTGCATCCCTCTGTGTGTGAAAAGCTGCCCAGCTTTGCTTCAGCTCGTTGTGCATTCCTGTTCAGCGAATATTTACGGCTTCGTACTGCGTGGTGAGCTAAACTCGACAACTGTTCATCGCAAGTGTCACACTGGAGCATCTGCAGCTTGAGTTCTGTTTTAGAGGATTTTTTTTTTTGTAATATCGAGATGAATGATTAACAAGGAGCTTCAGTTGCAAAAGCTGCCAGCACCCAATCCATTTTTAGCCATGTAACTATCTATGTGCAGGAAGTGAATATAAAATCAGTTGGAGGAGAAAAAAGTTCAGATGGATAACAGCATCCTGTTTAACTGCCACCTCCAGCCTGCACTGCTGCTCTGCCTTTGTTATAGGAACATCCTGTCTTTGTGCATTAGGTGTCAGTAGTGAGATGCTTAAAAAAATCTGCCTATATCCATAAATAGACTTCCAGCTCCTGCAAACCCCCCTTAATTTTTCCCAGTTGCCTTAAAGCACAAACTGTTTTTAGGTGGTGTTCAGTTTCTTTCTGCAGCAGACAAGGATCTCAACAATTAGGCAGGTTAGCCCTGTAACCGGCCCAGACTCTTGTCGTCCTCCGTGCTATACGTTTTGCTCATTATCCAGCTCAGAGCATATGGGCATCTAAACCAATTACAGGGCTCAGCCTTGAATAAAGGGATGCTTTAAGTCTCTGGCTCGGCTTCAGGCCTGGCCAGGTTGAGGGGTTTTCAGGCACTTAATATATGCAGGGGGGAGCATCAGCAGGAATCAGCATAGAATATGCACAAGTGCTCCGAGAGTTGAGAGCGTCCAGGTTCAGTCCACTCGCTGCACTGCCAGGCTGAAAGCAGAGAGGCGCGTCAGCCCCAGCCGATGAAGCCTGGCTTTTGATCAAGGGGGCCCCGCACAAGCTAATCTCTGCATCAGCCAAACTTTAAAAGGCAGCACTGCGGAGGGAAGAGGCTCCAGACTTCTGATTATTTAATTGATTCATATCTCATTTTCATTACATTGAAATTGTTTATGAAGCAGAATGAGGGTGCGTCCACGAGCTAAGTGCTGACATTAA